TATCCTTGTATCTTTTTCCTAGAGAGTGCACTTAGTACTTTCCTATCTATAATTTGCTATCACAGGATGCATGCATGCATACATTTCATTGCTCTTTTGTGGTGTTTACAGTAATTGCGGTTTGTAGTTAGGGTCATAGTCTAAACTTTGATAATTTTCAGCCAAGGTTAATCTGGAAAGACATAGTGATGAAAATACCAGTAATAATATCAATAGTAGTTGCTGATCTGTATTTGTGATATTGAGAAAATAATTATTTAGCATTTTAAAACCAATGCTTATTTCAGTGCCCATTGAGACATTTCTGTCTCAATTGCAGTTAATGTCATGTACCAGAAGGTGGAGTAATATGAGATTGACAACTACATTTGCTGGCACATAGGCAATGTACTTTTTCCTTAAACATATCAGTTCTTCACTTCAGTGAAGAATAATACAATAAATATTTAAAATCTTAATCTGCTGTCAGTTTTTCATGGTGGATATCAAAACTGCTATTGTTGCCTCTAGTATTATTGCAAAAGAGTGCTTTAAGCGTCAGAGTTTCATATTTCTTGTCAAGTCATGCATTCCTTTCCTCACAGGAATTCTAGGGACCTATTATCAAATACCGGAATGTCAAGGCATTGTACAAAAGAGTTGCTTGTCAGTTCTTCTTTATAACAATAACAATAACAATGTTTTCCTTCCACAGAAGGAACTGTAGTTTCTAGGAACTATGGTCATGCAATATTTCTGGTTTCGTATTAGCTTAAAATGTTAATTTAAATGTGATATGTCTAATCTAGATGATTCTGATATCTTTGTTTACAACTTCCAATTCTAAACTGCCATTATCTCCTTCCTTTTCTTTTTCCTCGTACTCAGGTTTTCTTCAGCTACCATATTTTTTGTACTGCTTTGAATTTCCACTTTCAACAATATTTTTTTCTCCTCTTTAGTCTATCAAAAAATCCAACAACCAAAAGATCTGTCCTTTCTTACTGTTGTAAGCATACGATGTATGTTTTTTGGCTCAAGATACATGCTGTTGATGTAAGCTGCTGTTGATGTGCTGCTGCTCAAATCTGCTTTATCTGCAATTATTCCTCAGTTTCTTTCCATCCATACTTTTGGACCATACATATTGCTGTATACCAAAATCTTCATACTTTTACATTTAAGTTTCTAATCAGAACTTAATTTGTTCTCCTGCTTTCTGCACTTTTGTTCCTCTACTCTTTCCACTTTTACTTAAATCTCAACTTTAAAATGTTCAACACACGAATTCTCACAGAGCAGTAACTCAAACCCTTTTATTCATTATTTCTTTTTTGATCCCCTTTTGTAGAGTTCAGTTTTATAGGGTCTCAGATGGTCTTTGCCCTGAACATTTTTTTGATTGCTTCAAATTTCATAAAAGTTTTAAGTCATTTACATTGTTTCTCTTTGCTCTATGTTCCAATGTAGGCTTTGACATCAGTAGTTAACTATAGGGAGCCCAAGTCGATCTGCAAAGCACCTGAGTTGGTAAGTGATATATGTTACTGTAGAAAGTAATAATACTTTTTTATAACTGTCAAATGAATTGGCATAAGGTCCATTACATGAATATCCATTTGTCACACTAAGTCAGCCTCAGGTGTGTATTTCAGTAGTAATAAATAACTTAATCTGCACACACATTTTGTGGGTGTGCAAAATTGGTGCAGTTGTAATTTTTGACAAAGAATTTGTATTTTCTGTGGACGTAGTATGTATCGTTTACCTATGAATACAGCCCTTGTAATAGAACATGAGACTATATACTGTGACTTATTTCATGCTTTAACTTTTGTGTAGAAGTTTGGAATACCTTGGCATACATTTGTTCTCAAGCTTGACAAGTAGGTTTGGGTTTGTCTTTTTTCTTTTTTTAACTTGAGCTGGCCAAGTACTGCGACAACTTGTTGAAGAAATCAGCAAAAGGAATGACAGAGAATGAAGTAGAAGACAAACTTACAAGTTTCATTACTGTTTTCAAATACATTGATGACAAAGACGTATTCCAAAAGGTAACTTTTGATATTCAGTAAATGTTAAAATGTTGCATTTAAAGTATACTTGAAGAATGGTTATGCTTTTAAAAATCCTCATATCTGATTTTTTTTATGCAGTTCTATGCCAGAATGTTGGCAAAAAGATTAATTCATGGTTTGTCTATGTCTATGGATTCTGAAGAAGCCATGATTAATAAACTAAAGGTAATGTAATATTCTTTTAACGCAGAATAAACACACGTAGGAGTATGTAATGTTGAGAAGGAGCAGCAGAGGGTGCCAGAGATAACTCGGCAATCAGTAGAACCTGTTTCCAATAGCTGAAAGGAAAAACTAATTTCTTGGTAGTCTATGAAAGATATATGGCCAAGTATCACTTAGGCATTTGAGATTTTTATGACGTTTTGGGTAGTTTTATTAAGTGTGTTCAAATAATTCATATTTACATTATAAAAGTACGAAGGACTTCCATAAACTATCTCTATCTTTCAATTTTATAAAATAACATTGTTCATATAAATCAGTGTATAGAAAGTGAAACTAAGATAAATCTGATAATTTTCTTTTATAATGTTTGTTTTCTATTGTAACTAGTGTTCTCTGTAAATATTATAACAACACTGCTGACTAGATTTTCATATTTTAGTAGTGAATGTGCATAATTTATATAATAAGTACTGTTTTCACTGTGAAACCTGTTACAATATTTCTTCACAGCAAGCCTGTGGTTATGAATTTACCAGCAAGCTCCATCGAATGTATACAGACATGAGTGTTAGTGCTGATCTCAACAACAAATTCAACAACTTTATCAAAAACCAGGACACGATTATAGATTTGGGAATTAGTTTTCAGATATATGTTCTACAGGTACTAATGTATGTTTACTACTATTGAGTTATTTGTACTTTATTTATGTTTTGATAATAAGTGAACACCTTTTCTAACTATGAATACTTCTCATGGAAACTGACACCTTGTGATCATTGTGGAATAATTTATTTTCTTAGTTTTTCTTTTTGAAGTTCACCCGCTAGCACACTAGACAATAGTGATGTAAAATGCCTTGTGTTCTTGTCTTGAATTAATACCTCAGTGGGGCATGCATAATGAGTAGTAAAAAATGAGTAGTAAAACTTCTGGTGTAAATTGAATGTCTTACGGCATAATATACACTATACATCTGTTTAATAGTGTTGTGTTTTCTTAATGTATATATATTGTATGAACATGTTAATGCTTTTATTTTTCCTGATACCTTTAGGCTGGTGCATGGCCTCTAACTCAGGCTCCTTCTTCTACATTTGCAATTCCTCAGGAACTGGAAAAAAGTGTACAGATGGTAGGTTAGTAGGAGGCTTCTTGTAAACGTGGAAAATGTAAAATAACTCCAAATAAAAGATGATCACTCTAACAGAGAAAAACCTGAGCTGCTTCATTTTGTTTGTAAATCATGGCTATCCTGTTGCCAGTCCATATGAAATTTGGGAAGGTCACCCAAATGACATACTGAATTTATGTATGTTTTTGCATAGCTTTTCTTTATTTTTCACATCTCTCTTCTACACTTCATGACTCATGAGGGAGATACTAATAAATACAATCAGATGAACTGTTTTCATTCTTAGCTTTAAAACCAATTCCTAATATTTAGATAAAAGAAGATTTTGTTTCTAATATTAAATCTGAACAGATTTAGTAGCAGATTAAAATGCAGATGCAGATTTCTTGTCCCATATTTCATAGGAGCCATTCAAAATCAAGCTTCATGCAAACTTCTTCAAAGTTAATTTTGCGAATTCTCAAAGCAGTAAAGGTTTTACTTTGGCCGAATATTCTCTTTTTGTGTAGTTATTTCTGCTTTGTAGAGGTGGAATATTTTATTACTTTTGGTTATATTATTGTGTTCTAAATGTTATCTGTACAATGTTTGTGTTAAAATACAGAATATGTGTGTTGATCTTTGCTAAAGTGTATTTAATGGTGAAGTACATTTTAGGCAATAAACATTTCATGTTATTGGACATAACAGATTTTTTAAGCAAGTTTTATACCTTAAATTGCTATCTGATCTAAATTATAATGGCAAATGTCTGCTTCTGTGGTGAAGGAGCTTTTTCATGTATTACTACTTGTGTATTTATTCTGCTTTTATTTCTGCTGTGTTAAGTGGTATAAATATATAATATATATTATAAATACATAATAAAACCATTATATTGCTTGGTTTTAGCAATATAATAGTTTCCAACCCATACTATGGGATACAGAGAAGGTGATTGGTGACATTTTGCTGTTCTTTGTGGGTTTAAAATAGGAGTATTGTCAGTTGTGCCTCAGTTGGAAAATTGTTACGGACTTGCATATCAGAAGCAGCTCAGAGTCTGGGTTGCTTGCCTAACTTCACTGTTTTGCCAGTTCAGAGGAGCAAACTTATTCATGTGTCACCTAGCTAGAACTAATGCTCTAAATTATACTCATAATCCCCTGAGGAAACAGAACATAACCTTGGGGAGTCTTTGAAAAATTGACAATGTCTGTCTTTACTGGCAAATTTGATCATTTGACCCATGAAGAGAGTTGTCTCAGGATTCTGGCCAGGATTTAGAAAGAAGAAAACATTTTGCAGTTGCACTCCAAAGTATGGGAGTACCTCTGTAACTGGGCAAACTGTTTAGCAGGTTTTTCAGGCTCCAAGGCTGCTGGAGCTTCCTATAAATATATATTTATTTGAATGGCATACAAATCCTGGTTTTCATACTATTTAAGCTTGTGGGTGGAGAAACACCTGATTCTTAAAGAGGTCAAAAGTCCTCCTTTTTGTATTTTCCTTGGATGTTAATCAGAGTTGCCAGACCAAATCAGAGTAAGCCGAATTGACGTGTACAGTGTTGGCTACATGGGGTGCAGGGAGGTTTGATCCAATTTTAAGGAAAGGTTCTTTGAATCTGCTTAAGCTTTTCTCATTGCCAAAAAGTAGTTAGACCTTAAATTAGGATTAGTCTGCAAGCCACACTTTGTTTCTTTCAGATAGGAAGTATGAGAGCAAAATTTCTGATTTTTTTTCTTAAAAATAAAAAGAAGCTTAAATACTAAACCTAAGGTTTAGCAGGCACTTGCCAATACATGCAGTCTGATTTGTTCCTCTTGGCTATAGGGATAATATGTAAGATTAAAGTCAAATTTATATTTTATTTTTTCTGTTGGATTTTCAGCCATATTTCAGTTATTTTCAGAGGACATCCAAAAGAATGCTGTACCTACTAAAATGCTACTAAAAATCCCCATTTTTATATTCCTCCTTACAAGCAAAATGATCAGACTCTTATATTACATATGTTAAAATAAAATCTGATTTTTACAAGCCTTGCCATAAATTTCCGCTTTAGTCTTTGGAGAAATTCTTCTTTTCCTTCCTGTCAGAGTAACTTTTCTGCATCAGTTTAGCCCACAGAATAAGTAAGCTAAAAGCCATGTCCTCAAAAGGTTGTGTTTTTTTTTTTTTTAAACATTCTGGAATATCTTTATTTGTTCTTCAAAATCCAGTGCTCCATTTTGTTTCCTAGGGCTTTTTCTTATTCTTTCTCCACTGCTTGCTAGTTTCCAGGCATGGCAGGACTGATGGATTGCATATAATACGATAATAAGATGATTTTGCTCCTTCTCTGTAAATTTGATTTTTCTTATCACAGTCCACAGGTCATTTCTGCCCTTTTTTCTCTTATACTCTGTTGGTGAAAATGACATTTAAGTGTACATAAGTATAGTTTTGAAAGCATCTTCTAGGAATTGCATTCCTAGAGTCTTCTGGAAAGTGGTCTCATTTACAGTAGCCAGATTTGTGCCCTTTAGTGCCAGATTTCAAACTGCATAGCTAATTTTCACTTGCACAAAACCAAAAACTTCATTTCAGGAGAAGAATTTTAAAGTTGTTTTTAAGACCTTTTCTTGTTTAGAGGTAATTTTTTTTCATATTCCCATTCTGCTATATATTTGTATGTGTATAATTCAAATGTCAGGAAAAAATGCTTTCCAGAATGACTGATGTAGCGCTTCTCATAATGACAGGAGATTCATGTAAAAATCAAACAAAGAAGGAAGAAATTAGCATTACTACTAAAGCTAGTTTTGCATGTAAGATTTTTAAAATACTGATTTTGAGAGGGGATGCTTCAATTTTTGGCTGTCAGCACAACTTTGAAGTGTTACTTCCTAAATCATAAATGTGTGCTTCTTTGTGAAAATAGGTTTTGGAAGGTTTCACCAGAAATTCAAGGATCTGTAGTCATTTCCTGATTCTGAGATGTTTGCAAGCTGTGTACTTGTGTCTATCCTGAAACCCAAATTGGAAGGTGGCAGAAAATGTGCCCACTTTCAAACTTGCTCTTTTAGAATTCCCCCCTAAAAACACGTTCAGGAATATAAGATGAGATTCATCATGAAAGTCAATGGGTAGCTGACTGTGGGAAATACCTGTTAACTAGAAGTTTGGTTTTTGAAGGCTGTTGTTAAAAAAAAAAAATCAGTAAAATGGATTTTCTGAATTGATTTTAAATAGGATATCAAAGCCATGGAATATAGAATGATTTCACCAAGGTGAAAAAATAAAAATACACTTGTTTTTATATGGAAGGAACATAATAATAAAACCTAATAAAATTGATTGCTAGAACCTCCTAGAAATTCTTTTAAATTTGGTAGAGTTGATACTTCTTTGGAACATTGTTTAATTACAGTATTTTATGCTTTGAGAGGGTGAATGTGTCAACAATCTTTTTGATTTAGTCATCAAGTGATACGTTAATTTGTTCAAGTAGCTCAGTAAATGACTGACATTCAGTCCATCACCCATCTTCTAAAGGAAAATGCTGTCATGAATTGATATGCAATGTTTGCATTCAATATGGTGAACATAAAACCAGTATTTCTTCGCTGGGGTGGTAGTGTGATAAGAAACTGTTGTAAGTAGTTATATGTGTGACTAATTTAAGTTCATTTTGTTTTGCAGTTTGAATTATTTTACAGTCAGCATTTTAGTGGAAGGAAGCTTACTTGGTTACATTATCTTTGTACAGGTAAAAATAAGTGCTTTGCTAAACTTATGCTCTATACAACTGACAATTATTTGTTAAAAGTCCTTTTCAAATGTCAACAGACTTTGGAGTTGGAACATTATGTTGTCTATAAAGTCAACTGACTTATTTTGCATTATAAACTAATTTAATAATTGCTGCTTAGTATTTCCTAAATTTACGTTTTGTAAACTTGCATATGTTATCTGTGATTTATTAAATCCAAGTAAAAGTAGAGTTGCACACTCTTAACTAAAAAGCAGCACTGCAGAACTGCTGAGTTAATAACAATTGCCCTGGAATTGTTTCTGTAGTATCAGATGTCCCTTAGCTGAATATTAAATAATTTTAAGAATGCATATTATACTATTTTACTCAGATGTGTAAGTATCTAAGTAAATACATATATATATTTACTTCTGGTTTTATTTACTATATAGAAATATATGTTAAAAAACATCTTAGAAGAGATATATAAAGTTGTAGCTTAGTTTAGTAAGTATCAGTCAATCATGTTTTATTTCAAGTGCTTTCAGTATCAGGCTTTAATGACTGAGCACCGCAATATGTTACATGGAGGTGAAAACCAGACTAGCATACAATATAATGTAATGAAAATTTAGTTCTGATAATGGAAGGTTGCTGTTAACTCACACTCACCTTCACACAGAAAATCTGAATCTGCTTTTGGGCAGATTTCTTCAGTGCTTTTTTTCTTTTTTTTCTTTTTTTTTTTTTATTTCAGGGGAATTTAAAGAATATAATAATATTGTGAAAAATTTTACTGGACAAGTCTTTTATTTTGTTTTTAAATCTTTCCTTGGAACAACTTTCCTGTCATCACTATTCTGTGATTCTGTGTAAGCTATCACTAATTGAAGTTTATACATTGCAATGCGTTGAGGCTATTAGGAATTTTCTTTTTTTATTACTATAAATTATGTTGCATTATTCAAATTCAACACTGTAGGTTTCTTTTTTCCTTGAAAACACTACTGTTCTAGTATTCATAGTTTATCAGAGTTATTTTTGTTGCAGACCACATTCTATATGTGTAAATTCACAACATCAGTTTTCATCTTCCCATTCCAAGTGTTAAATGCATACTTAGGTGTGAATTGAATGTCTGGAAATGTATGAGGAGCTCTAGCAGTTAGGCTTCAGATGACTTTTCAGCACATTCCATCAGTTTATAAAATACTACTTGTATCATTACAGGTGAAGTAAAAATGAATTATTTGTGCAAACCTTATGTAGCCATGGTCACAACATACCAAATGGCAGTGTTGCTTGCCTTCAACAACAGTGAAACTGTCAGTTACAAGGAGCTTCAGGATAGTACACAAATGAACGAGAAGGAACTGACAAAAACCATCAAATCCTTACTTGATGTCAAAATGATCAACCATGACTCAGGCAAGGTATGCAGTAATGGTATAAAAAAGTTTCATGTTTTCAGTCTTGTGATTCTACTATTTGTTGAGGGCTTTTTTTTAATATGAAAGAATCCACTGTTTGCTTTTTTCCTAAACTGTATTATTGACCCTTGTGAACAATTATAAATCTGTATGTATAAGGAAAGGGATAGGAGGAATTAGGCTATCTTTCTTTGCTCTATATGCCTATAATAGCATGGTATGCTGAAAAGGTAATAATGCTAAGATTCTTTATTGTTTCTGTTGCATTTCACCTGTATGGCTTTAGACTCACTGCTGTTGGAGGGGAATACTCTTTAAATACACCACTTTCAAAGTTGTACTGAATCATGAGAAGGAGCCTGAGTAGTAAACCAGAGTCTTACAGAGATCTTAAAAAAAATAAAAATTGTGGGATTTAAGAGACTGAAAGTAACAGGAACCATGTTCTTCCTTGCTGACATATTACAGGAGGAGGAGAGAGGAGGAAAGGGAGCAAGAGGGGCTTGTGAAGAGAGGATTTTTGAGGCAATTTGCCAAACTCCATCGTTCCATGAGTTTCATGGAATTCCAGTAATATCTGAGCTTTGTTTGTGGTTAAGGCAATGGTTGATACAGGTTCTGTTTCTGACTCTGCCTCATACTTCTGTACGACCTACGTGAAACCAGTTACCCTTTTTCCCATACAGCAAAGGACACAGGTGTCTGTTAGGAAACATTACAGAAGTGCCTGTGCATACCATACAAACTTCAGCATGTGCTTCCAGCTAGCCCAGAAAGCCCGAGTTACTCAGACAGTTATCAGGCAGAAGAAACTGAGATAAGCTGTTCATTTCGCTTACAAGAAGAAATCCAAAGCTGCTCTGATAGCTGCTTTTTTTTTTTAACCAGGAAAATATTAGAAAATGGAAAGTGAGATCACAAGGAAGGTCTGATGCTTGGCTGAAGCATAGGACATGCTTCCAATATCTAGAAATGAGCTCAGGTTGGAACAGTGGCTGGGAAGATGTCTGTTAAACCATGGGTGAAACATAACAGTGGGAGCTATTACAGAAAACAGTGAGATTTTTCATAATCATAGAAAGTTGCCCATTATTTAAAGGATTTGCATTTATTTATACCTGTCGTATAAGCTTTCGCCAGTTTCTTTAAGCGTATGTCATTGAAGAGTGAACGGTATAGCTTTCCAACCCTTTTACCTTTTAATGTTTACCACCACATTTTCTGCTTCTTTAACTTGCAGGCTATTGTATTCAAACATCTCTGCTAATTTTGGTTTCCTTGCACTCCATTCAGCAATGTGAAAGCTGAGCTGTAGACAGCCTACTGGCTTACTTACTGAATAAGCCAGTGAACTTTAGTGCCTTAAGCAGTGAAATTAAATACGCTAACTTCTCTTTACCTGTATCTGAGCACAGAAAAGTACAGTGTATTAAATGTTGTAGTTTGCTTTTGTTTGTTTAGGTTTTTTGGAAAGAGAAAAAAAAAGAAACTTAACAAAATCTTTGTTGATTCATTAGAATCATGCTTTTTCAGTTCATGCAGAACACTATTTTGGTTTATACTCAACCATGTAAGCACAATAGTGCTAAAATTTAATGTTGATTTATATTTCTTAAAGCTGTTGATCTTTGCCCTTTCATGTTAAATTTTCTATACTATGCCTGGATATTATAAAATATTATAATAAAGAATATTTGTTGCAGAATATAAAATTAGAATTAATATTGTTTTGAGTATATATTTAGGTAAATATTGACTGTGTTTACTAAAGTATTTGCACTTGAGGCAACCATGGTTTGGCAAGATTCCAAAGTCTAAGAAGCCCAGTAACTTTATTCGGCTGGAAATTGGTAATGCTTGTACAGACTCTTGCCTGGAAACTGCAAAGATTGGTCAGGTCGTTCTGTTAGTTGAATGTAAAGGTGTTTGGACTGCAGGGAATAGTTACCATTTATTGAAAGAAATGGACTTTTACATGCGTGGAAAAGAATTGAGATTCTGACAGGAAAAAATCAGAAACGTACAGGTAGATGTGGAACCTCAGAAAGTGCAGTTTGTCAACTGTTTCTGCTATAACATAACAAAATGCTTGAATGTTTTTCCTTAAGTTCTGGAAGGCAACATTAGTAATAGTTGTGAAAGCAACAGCTCTCTCTCTTGAGGTTCTGCAATAAATAAATGCAAATCCTGCTTTCTTTGAAGGGAGAAAATGAGTTTAAATGGAGAGTGTTTGCAACTAAGATAAGCTGTTCAGTATTAAAACAAATTGCTTTAATCATATTGACTTGTTAAAAATACTCGTGTGTCAGAGTTCTTTATAGTGTTTTCTAAAACAGACTTGATTTCTAGGTTAGTTAAACTGTACCTTTAAAAATTGACCTGGTTCAAGTGGCATTTTAGAATTTCCAACTACAAATCTGCTGAAATTGTTTGTATGTATGCAAGCCCCTAACTATGGTTTTTCAAAGTGAATTGTTATCATTTTCTCGTTCCATTTCTGATTTTTTTAAAAAGATTCTTTATTGCAGGAAGACATAGAGACAGAGTCTACGTTTTCATTAAATATGAACTTCAGTAGTAAACGAACAAAATTTAAAATTACTACATCAATGCAGAAAGACACACCACAGGCAAGTATTCTTTGGTGCTTCTAGCTTGAACAGCTTAGGAAGCTTATTTTTCTAAAATTGAATTTATTGTATTAGTTTGGTGTAAGCAGATGTAAAAGTCCCTGTGTAAGATTTACATCACTGTAAAGAAATTGTTTAAGTTTAAAGCTTAAGCACTGCAAATTTTTTTGTACTTAAAATATAGGCAGGAGAAGATGGAATAGGGAATAAGAAAGAGGATGAAAAAGATAAACAAGAGCTATTCCTGTTGCACCAAATGGGATTGACATTTAACTTGTCTTATCTAATGGAAGTTTTTTGTTGGTGGTGTTTATAAAAGCAACTTATTCCAGGAACAGCAGAACCAATCTGGTTTTCTACGGTTTTGTGTCCTTCGTCAACTAAAATTAAGTCCAGTGTTGATAATCCGTGTTCCCTCTGTATCTCCTAAGACATAGGATTTTGTACAAGAGATGTATGTGCTCCCAAACTCAATACATTATAGTAAATTCTGCCCACCTTTCTCCCTAAAGGGATGAGATGTCTCTCTCCTCCCTTCC